GCTACAAGGGTTACCCATATCTCAATATATCTCAATTGTCTCATTGTGTCATCAGAAGATTGAAGATTGCAAGGTTTTGAAATGAATCACATTTCTAATGATCATCTCTCAAATTAAGGTTTTGGTCAATTAAAGTATTTGAGACTTGTATGAGCCTAATTTGTGGAGTATCATCTTCTCATCATTATATGAAGCATATTTGTTCAAGGAATTTCTCAACATGTCCAGAAGAATTAGGGTTTTAAAGCTTGGTCATCATCTCCTAACACAAAGAGCCAAACTTAGGTTTTTTTATTTAATCAGGAAATCTTTGATTTTTTGGGCAAGGCTTGATGTCATATCTCTCTACATGTTCATGAGCATCTATGATTGATAAATTGATCATCAATTTTGGTTAGAAGAGGTTCAATTGATCAATAGGGGAAAAAAGACATTTTAACTAAAGTCAACAAAAGTCAATTGTGGTTAAAGGGATTTTTGGTCAATATGCAAATCAACATCCCTATTTTTATATTGCATGGTAATTGATGAAAGGAAATCAAGAGATTTGTTGAATTTGGAGTTAACTTGTGTAAGAAGTCATTTGAGCATTTTTTCAGAATTTTCTAAGTGTTCATAGTATTAAACTTTGGATGATCACAACTTCTTCAACTTTTATTGAAAAGGTACAAACCTTATATGGTTGGAAAGCTTGAGAAAAATCCTTCAACTTTGTCATGTTGAGCTTAAGTCTAAAATGTGAAGCATTTGAAATATATGGAGCTTGGAAATTCTAGGAACAAGGCATAAAATTGTTGGGCAAGCTTGTACGCAAAGCCAGTCCTTTTTACAAATAGTTGGTGTGCTATTTTCACCATTGATTCTTTTCTAACTTAAGCTTCAATTGAAAAATGTTCAAAGGGGGATTGTAGCTGGATATGCAAGCTTCATGCTGAGCTTTGAATCATGTCATTTTGCTTGCTATCAAGTGAGATATGAGGTTTGGAAATCCACATTTCAAATTGATCAACATGCAAGACATGCATGCAGGCCAGGTATACAGCACGTGCGTGAAACAACTGGCTAGAAATCATCAAATAATGAAGTTTCCATTGAACGTCTTTTATCTCACATGAAGGGAAAGGTAAACATCGAGAAAACCTAAGAAGGGGAAAGTCACGGTCTTGCGACCGAGAGATCAGGTAAGGGAGTCTGTTACGCGAGGGAAAGGTATTAGCACCCCACACGCCCGTAGTATTCCATGGTATTCACTCTTGTTATATATCTTATGGGTGTGTTTAATATATGCTTACTGTTTACTGCTAAAGGGAATGCATGCGAAAGGAAAGGAGAAAAGAATGTAGGGAAAATAAAGTTGTACTCGCTTGGGCCCTACCCCAATACCTACGTATCCTTTTTGAGGAATCAGAGATACCGTAGTTTGGCTCACATGTTTTGTTTGTTTTGTTTGTTTTGTGTTTTTTATGGACAATGTTAATTCCGCCTTCTGCCGCAGCTCGACCTTTGGAGACTCACGCGTTAGCACAGAAGTAAATTAATCATGTCCTTACCTGAAAATGGTTTTTAGAGAAAAGGTGCTTGGGCGCACAAAAAAGTTTGAGTTGCTTTATATTTTGTTAACTTGAAAAAGGGGTTAAGTGTTATTAGCATGTTTTATGATTTGCTAAAGAAAAAGGTTTTAGTTTTAAATGCAAGGATGCAAAAAGGGGAAGAAAAGAGTCTAAGGGAGACTAGCCTATTTCTAACCTAAAGTTATCATACAATGGTAGTCCTACGTCAAGGATGAAAGGGAAATGTCTACCTAATGTTAGCATGCATAGTTTACAACCTAAGGTCTAACTTGCATCCGAAGGACACAAGCACATCCTAAGGGAACATGATATGTACAAGGATAAAGCAAGCAAGACCGAAAGAGCACACACATAAAATAGTAAGGAAAAGAAGCGAAATGCTTTAGCCAAGGGGAGCGTATCACCCGAGACAAACAAGCGGGAGTGAGATGAAAAAGTAAAAATGTGATGTCCAAAGCAACTGAACACCTAACCAAGATATAGGAGATCGAGGTGGGCGACATAAGGCAATATGAACAATCACGGAGTATCAGCATCATCCAATGCGAACTCCTGACAAAGCATGGGGGTTCGATTGCGGAACCCTTCCCCACTTGACGACTCAATACGCAAGAGCAAGCACAACTCCGAAGCATCATGGTGCGTCACGAGCTAAGAATAACATAGATAAAATTGCGGGGGTTGATTGCTAAACCTCCTCGCTCGCCTCCTTTTGAGGACTTATCATCTATACATATGCGAGAACAAATATAAACACATTTTCAGAATACCTACTCAAAGGTAGGGTTTTAAACAACTACAAATGACAAACAGAATGCACACAATGCGGGATTGCCCTAAATATGTCCTTAAATGAACCATAAGGGTTCCTAACATGATCAGCAACAGAGACCCCCGTCATACATCTCTACCCTACTTCTTATGGCATCGGAAAGTAAAACCCTACTTATCATGATCTCTAGGAAAGCGGTAAAGAAATACGATAAAGTGCAGAAATGAAGAAAAAATGAAGTTGCGATGATACCGAACAGAGAAGGTTTGTTGCCTCTTCAAAATCACGCAAGCGATAAGGAAACTCTACATAAAGCTTCCTTGATGAAAATTGAATTCTAAAGTTATTCCAAAACCTCTTGAAACTCTTCAATAAAATTATCCCACACTCGTGCCAACAAGCGTCATGGATCAAGCACTACTATCTTACACAAGCAGCATTAGGAATCCCTCTCAGAGTTTGCAGTCCAAATGAACATCCAATGAAATTAGGACTTGAGTTCAACCATTTAAATAGTTTTTTATGATCCCAAATAGAAGTAAACACTGAATCAAACTCCTAAGGTTCAAGACCTGTTACTAAATGAGACACCATGCCAAAATTTGAATTAAAACAAGGAGAGATCAACAAGAACATAAGCAACCCTAAATTTCATCATATTTACAACTTTATTCAAATAATTCCTAAATGAATAAAAAAAAGAAAAATATCATCAAGTCAAGGACTAATATGTTAACATACACACAAAATTTTAGCACAAAATAATGGAAGAAACTCAAGAAATTAGTTGCACAAAATTGTAAAAGAAAAATGAAAATATAGAGAAAACTGTGAGATGTTCTGGATTTGGCAGTGGTGTGTAGCACTGTAACCTGCCTCAGGCCCGATAATTGGATTCCAACAATGGCATATAAAGGCTTCCAAAAATATGTAACGTGCCTAGGCCAACAGATTAAACTCAATGTGTCAATCCATCAACCCACTTTCCACTCCAATGTCAATAATCTGATTATATTATTAACAACAAAAATCAAATAAAATAAGGAATAAAAATGAATGGAGCGTGACCCTTGAGATACTCCAAAAAAAACCTTATCTCTTTCCTCCGGATCCAATGTCATTGAAAATCGCTTTGTCGTGCGAGAGGCGGCGGAGTTCTACCAATCTTTGCTATTTCGACATCACCTTGTTTGCCTTACCATTGTATCTCCGCTTTGTACCTACTTTCTTCTGATTTCCATTCATTTTCTTTGAATCTATATCGACGGAAGTGATGATCGAAAGCTTCGGTGAACACTCAGATTCAGGTATCCCTTCATCTTCTTTCTTTCACTCCCTTTCTCCTTCTTCTATTTTCTTGATTTTTGGTTTCTTCTGATTCCTTTTTGCATTTCTGAATTTGTGCGTTTTGTGTTGTTGTTACGAATTTTGATACTGCACAAATTGATGAAAGCAGGAGCAGTGAAGTGTTGTTGACGATGAATTCATTGTTGTTAAAGAAACATTGTTGCGTTTATGTGATAAAGATGAATCAAAAACTGCGGCGAATCCGATTGAATCTGAGAGATGATGATGATGAAACGTGAGGGATGAATGTGCAAAAGAAGCTTGGTTCAGAGATGATGCTTGAAGTTTCTTGCAGAGTTGTGCGATGAAAATGGTGGAAGATTACAGAATGGTGAAGATTGAATACTTGATGAAGGTGGTGATGGAGGTTCAAAGAAGATGAAGGTGAAGATCGAATTCAGAGAGAAAGATTGAAGAAGAGCTTTTGGTTTTTTTTGGTGATTCTTCCCAGTTGTGAAGAATGTTGAAGATGATGATGAAAGAGCTTGAAGGACGTTGAGAATGGAAGAAGTAATGAATCAGAGAGAGCTTTCAAAGAGAACTTCTGGTGAGTTTTTCTGTTTTCTGAATCTCCTATTTTTTGTCATCTGTTGGGAGTTGGCAGTTGGAATTCGGCCCCAGATTCTGTTATGGAGGTTAATGATTAGTTATAGGCTGGGAGTTTGTTATAATGAAATAGAGAGAGTTTGATATGAAGAGAGAGGTCTTAATGTATTGTTTTGAAACTAGGAAATTGGAGGGAAGTTAATTGGTTGGAGGTTTGTTAGAGGATAGGAATTCTATTGTAACAACTAGTTAGGGAATTTCTGTTAGAAGTTGCTGGTTCTGTTATGGGATAGTCGGTTTTCTGTTATGGATAATTATGGGATTAGCTTGCTTCTGTTAGAGGTTATTTCTTTTAGTTTTCTGTTTGGACAATTATAATAATGAGGAATTGATTAGAAACAATTAGAAAGTTAGTTACAAAAATTCTGCTAGTTAGTTAAGGGTTATTAGGAAGTTAGCCACAACATGTTAGCTGGAAATTGTTAGAGAGGACATTAGGGGATTTTAGGAATGCAGGGTAGTTTAGGAATTGACAGTAGAATGGCATTTTTCTTTGTTTGAATTTGCATATGTTTTTGAATTTTTATAGGCTGCTGGACATGTCGATATTTGGAATTGCTCCATTTCTATTCCTGCTTTTGAGTTTATGCGCATGCTGTTTTTGAGTCGTGGACTTGTATGCTAACATTCCCATTGCAGATTATGAGACAATAGCCAAAGTTTTTTTTTTGTTTTATACTCAAATGGTTGGAGTTTCTCAATTCTCATAGAGCAACTATTCGTGCAACTGATGAAGAGATAATACGTCTAAACCAATTATGGGTTGTACCTCCATGTACATGTATCACCCTTAACTTTAACTTGAATTGGCTGCACGGATGTGTCGTAATCATATGAATCAGATTATTCTTGAAAGTTGCAGGGCTGATGCTAACTTTTCCCTTATGTTGAATGCAGGTTTCTATGGGCTGGTGCATTGATGCAGCAGAATTTGGTTATATTGCTTCTGAACTGATCGGCATGAGCAATGATGGTCTGAAACCATATCCTACTGCAAGATTATTGCCTTTGGGTCTTTCTTGGACTGACTTTGGATAGGATGGATTTTGTGTTTGCAAGCTTAACCTATAGGTATATGTTTCTCTAATAACTCGTCCTATTATTTGTGAATGATATCAGATAGATAGGGATAGTTCAAGTCACTGGTGTATGCGACTGCTGTATTGATGTGTTTGATTATGAAATAAGTGGATCTTTATGATCGGTATGCTTGACTTTGCTGCAGGTTTTGGTTAAATCCAACTCAAGAGGGTAAAGGTTTGAAATCCGGGAAAGCTCAAAGAAGAGAATATCCTTGCCATGATTATGAATAGCACTCAAGGGGATAAAATCTTAATCTAGAGAGGCCGTTTGAAGTCACTTGTAATGGGGAGCGAAAAGATTTAGGATATATATTTTGTATAATGTACTCTTTGTAGAATTTCTTTGTAACTTTGTAATTTTGTTCAGGATAATGCCGACAATGTAATGGCAAGTTTTCATGTCTCCAAATTTCCCCTGGATTTGTACTTTTGTTAAGACATGATGATGATTTAGATCTTGAAACATGGTGATACACTTGACATATTATATATATCAAGCTCCTTATCTATCATTTCTTTATTTTGAAAGTGTCAATGGAGTAATAATGTTTTCCTCTTGAATTCCAAGTAAACAAATTTGAATGATCATTGTTTCTTTATTCTTGAATGGTTAGAACCCTTGTTATGTGATGACCATTGATCCACTGTAACTTGTTCCACAAGTAAACCCAATCAGAACATTAATCCATGATTGTCTCTTTTCGTCCAAGATGTTGACAATATTAGACGAAGTCTTGGTTCTTGAAGTCAATGATATCCCATTGAATAAATGAAGTTCAACCTTTTGTATTATCAACAACAAAAAGAGAACCCATCCCTAATGACAAAAACCTAATCCATGAGAACTCCATGACCAAATTTAGATGCCTCTCTCGCATAAAGCTCATGATCACATGACTTGAGATCCAAGTAACAAGTGCCTCCTTGTCTGATGAAGAATAATCATTAGAACCCTGACTAGTCATGGATAATATCCCCTCCTGATAACCATAACATAACAAATGAACCCTAATTCATACGGGTATACCATGTATTAGGAAATAGCTCTTAATTCCTAAGCTTGTAGCCCTTTTGGATGATACTTGTAGATATCTTGTGTCGTAAACGACATAAAACCTCTCTTGTTTGAAGGATCCCAAAGAATGTTTAAGAAGAAGAGCTTCAGATTACATGTATCCAAGCCTTGAGCCTTCATCACATGACATTGGGTATAGGATTAGAAACCCTAATCATGGTCATTGCCTCTTCAATTGAGTTGGCCCTACAAAAAGGTGGGAAAACCCTAATCCACGAATGAACCCATAGTGCACCAGTGAAACCCTAGTTCTTGAAGATTCTCGACCCCCACCAATTTGTGTTGTTAATGAATGTATGTAATGTTAAATGACCTAATGGAAGTTATGTATATGATGATGCATAAGCCAGATGATCCCTATAAAGGGGTAGGACAAATTTGGGGTATTACAGCGCGCATACCTTTCCCTGCTAAACTTCATTTTTCCAAACTTCTTGCTATGATTTCTTCATGATGCAAGCACCATTTTTGAAAACTCAAAGCCCAACATTGATCCTTATCATGAGAGATTTCCATAGGCCTCAAGAGCTTGCAAAATGCATGAGGGAATTCAAAGAAAATTGAGAATTGCTGAACTGGTCATGCAAATCAAGGTAGATTAGAGTCCATGCACACATGAAGCTAGCTCACCATGCACACGCATAACACTAATTTCCCACTCAAAACGACTGCAAGTTCAAAATTCAACAACACAAAATGCAGCAAGCATGCATATTCTTCATTGAGACCAAAAAGCCCTCCAAACTTCAAATGTCCGTCATACCCTCAACAAAACTTCCTGAACACTCTTTCCCACTCTATATAAACTCTTATTCACTCTCATTACATAAGAGGCTCTTCATACATGCTTCATCATTCACTCATAACAAACTTCAAATTCTCTCTTCATTTCTCAAAGTTTTCTTCGAAGATCTTCATTCCTCTACTCCAGTTCACAATTTCTCCTCATTTCATCACCATTGAAGCTTGAAGATCAAGTTCATCGGATTTCTAAGGTCTTGTTCAGAGGCAAGAGTGAGTTTATTTTTCACTACTTGAGGTAAGTTTCCATGAATAAGGCTTTTTCAGCGCTTATGCTATAGAACAAGTGTAATAGATTTCAGTCTATTTGAATTTTCATTCAATTTTAATTGATTTCTTTAATTTTGTTTTAATATTTTATTGATTCAAAAATTATCAAAAAAATATTTTAGACTATATTTTTAATATATTTTTATATTATGAATTTTATTTCATTTTTTCATCATTTTTGCATGACTAAATAATTCATATGAAATGATTAGGACTTTAATCATCTTTTAGGTTTTAGAATTTTATTTTTCTAATTTTCATCAACCTAAAAAATCTATAAAAATTTTCCTAAGTCTCTTTTTTAGTCTACTTCATGAAAATAATTTTGTCTTGTTTGCGGCATGCTAATTAAATCATTTGATTAATGATGTTATCCTTCTTGCTAATTTTGTTACATAATGCAAATATTTTATGTTCTAATTTTTTATTTCAAGATGAAATTTAAGAAAAATATGTTTAGTGTTCTTTAGACATTGATATAATTGTTCATGATTTTTAATTGAATTTACAGTTAAGTTTGCTTATATTTTAAAAATTGTGCAAGTTAATTGTTCTTTTTGGTCCTATTTCTTGCTTATGTCTAAAGAAACATTTAATTCTCTTACTTTTAAAAATTAAATAAAATATGTTTGAGATTCTAGGATGACTTAAGATCATAAAACCCATTTTTGTTAAATTTTAAGGTTTGATCTTACATTTTTCACAAATTATTTTGCTAAAACTCTCTAGTTTGAGCCCTTTGCCAACTAGTCTTGATGATTTCCAATCATTTTCACCTTTTCAAGTTAGTCCAAAAACTTTATACCATGTTTATGACTTTTATAAGTCTTTAGGAAGCTAGGGTTAAAGTGACATGATTTTACAAGTCCTTTTTCTATTTTTAACCTAATTTTGACTTAGAGGTATGCATAGGATTTTGCCTTGACCAAAATGCTTGTATTTGAGAACTTGGTGCTTTGTTTTAGGTTAACCTTTTGTATAGAGTATTTCATTTTTCTCATGCCTCTAACCCTTTTTTCTTTGATCAACAATTGTATGCTTCTTATGGCCCCTTTCTTGTGTGCTTTGTGCATGATCTTCTTGCATTTTGTTTGATGCTTGATTATTTTGTTCTATATTCTTGTTTCTACTTAATTGCATGTCAACATATCATTTAATCATACTCTCTCTTCATCTAATACCCTTCTTGATTCTCCTTTTGCTTTAGGGTTAATTTAGGGTATTGTTTTTGACCTAGTTTGTATACTTTGGTGTTTGTACTGTAATATTCATGACTAATTGAGTTTTATGTTGATTACTTGGTATGTGTTGAATTTATAACATGAAAATGTATTATTTATCTTCTACACAATACCTCTTTCCTCTCACATGTTTTCTTATTAATATTGCATGAGGACTTATGTCCACTTAGGGTTTTCAAACCAACTTTCATTGCATGATTTGATTGTGAATATTCCTCAAGTTTAGATTTATGATGTTTATGAACCTTACATGTATTCATTTATGACTTGTATGATATTTCATATCCTTCATCTCATCTCACTTTCTTATGCTTCCTTGGTTGCTTATCTCGCTTTCTACTTCCTCTTCTCCACTTCTTTTGGTGTGTTTAAGAGTTTCATCTCTTGTATGTGTTTTGTCACATAAATGTTGTGTGTGCTTGATGTATTTCCATCTTCATATTTATGTTTTATCATATTTCTCATGCTACTTGATGTCTTTCCATATTGATGCATACCTGATGTTTTACCAATTCATTCTTAGTATGATGTTTTATCATCACATCTCTACATGATGTTTTGCCATATTTGTTAGGTGTTTTGTTATCTATACTTGATACATGTTTCTTGATGTTTTTCCATCCTTGTTATATGTTTTGTGATATATACTTGATACATGCTTGTTGATGTCTTTTCATCTTTGTGTATGATGTTTTATCATCCCTCTCCCTTCTTTATTAGATTCTCCTCTTGTATGCTCCCGATAGGATTTTTAGTTTAATCTTATCTAAGTTTGAATTAAATATACCTTAGGATCTATATCTATGTATTCTAACATTAGGTAGATGTTTCCCTCTCTTATCCTTAACTATAGGATCAACAATACATGATAACTTTAGTGCTATTTTGTTAGTCTCCCCTTAGACTTTTTATTTCTCTTTTGCATCTCATTAAAACAAAAACTTCTTATTTTTCTTTCAAGCTTCTTAAAATACTTAATAATAATGATGAGAGTCATGTGCCATGAGCCTTACATGATTCCTTTGGGTACGAGACGTCTGGCTCGACCACCCAAAGTCTCTCATGTTGTAGACTTTAATGTGGTCCAAATCATCAAATCCTTTTTTTAAGGTAAAAAAACAAATCAAGGAAAATCTTTTCGTCTTCAGACTTTTTCTTTTAAAACATTTAAAAAAAAAGGACATGATTTGCTAATATTGTTCTTAAAAATATTGCAACAAATGGAAACTACTGAGCTGAACTATGATGCTCTGATTCCTTAAACGGGATACGTATGCATCTTGTCACGAGGCTCAGTCGATCGAGCTTTGTAATCTTTCCTTCTTTTCCCCGTGTTTTTATTTTTGCATGTGTTCTCTCTTTGCATCTTTTTTTAGCTCTTAAGCTTTAGCCTCAGAGTCTTTAAACACCCTTAGATTAGAACAAACATAAGTGGATCCCGTGGAGTA